TAATAAACATTTGTGGCTATGATCAGTCCTATTTTGTGACTCCACTTATAGTAAGTATAAATTTTATCAGCCTATCACTGCTGATGTCTGGGGTTGGATACCATCAACGAGCTGTTTGAAATTTCACCAACAGGATCGCTGTAGGTCACTTGTCAGACACTAAGTTGAATATACATTTTATTTACAGCTAATCGAAATATTAAATTAATTCTGTCATCGTACCAAAACTTGTATTGGTTAGTGTCTCGGTGACGTTACTTTCTACGTCAGAAGAAAAAATCTATTTTAATTTCACGGTATCCAGAATAAACATGCTTTAAGATAAATTTTGATATTACGTCATTGAATCTCTAGGCCTTTTGAACTGAATCACATTTTATATCCAACAGGTGGCCAGTTGTTACTTCAAAACAGGTCAGAATACTAAAGAATGTATATAATAAAGTTGTATAGATGTAGAACTGAATCACATTTTATATCCAACAGGTGGCCAGTTGTTACTTCAAAACAGGTCAGAATACTAAAGAATGTATATAATAAAGTTGTATAGATGTAGAACTGAAAGTTATGAACACTTGTAAGTAGAAAATACAACTGTTAAGTAACGTATTTAATGTAAGATTCTCAAAGATTTAGTTGCTGGTCATATAAGGGAACGACACTTCAGTCAGATGTAAACATTTAGTTGCTAGTCATATAAGAGAACGACACTTCAGTCAGATGTAAACATTTAGTTGCTGGTCATATAAGGGAACGACACTTCAGTCAGATGTAAACATTTAGTTGCTGGTCATATGAGGGAACGACACTTCAGTCAGATGTAAACATTTAGTTGCTGGTCATATAAGGGAACGACACTTCAGTCAGATGTAAACATTTAGTTGCTGGTCATATAAGAGAACGACACTTCAGCCAGATGTAAACATTTAGTTGCTGGTCATATAAGGGAACGACACTTCAGTCAGATGTAAACACTTAGTTGCTGGTCATATAAGGGAACGACACTTCAGTCAGATGTAAACATTTAGTTGCTGGTCATATAAGGGAACGACACTTCAGTCAGATGTAAACATTTAGTTGCTGGTCATATGAGAGAACGACACTTCATCCGGATGTAAACACTTAGTTGCTGGTCATATAAGGGAACGACACTTCATCCGGATGTAAACATTTAGTTGTTGGTCATATAAGGGAACGACACTTCAGCCAGATGTAAACATTTAGTTGCTGGTCATATAAGGGAACGACACTTCAGTCAAATGTAAACATTTAGTTGCTGGTCATATAAGGGAACGACACTTCAGTCAAATGTAAACATTTAGTTGCTGGTCATATAAGGGAACGACACTTCAGTCAGATATAAACATTTAGTTGCTGGTCAGATGAGAGAACGACACTCATCACTCTGGTGGTGAGATCTTTTCATATCTGTAAAATCAGAGTGATCTTGGATATTCGAACAAACACGGAATCCACTTACTGTTTCAGAAAGTTCTTCCTGTTAGACAAGCAAATTGAAGAAGCTTTGTTAAGTAAGTCACGACCCCTCTTTTCCGCGTGGCTGGTTTGACACAAATTGCCAGCGTTGCCACTAATTTTAGTACTTCTACCCCCCCCCCCTTCACTTCTTGTGAGGTGACAAGAAGAAAAATAACCAGACAACCTGCTCGGTTTCTCGCGCGTCCAATGTGGACATTTCTTGGAAGGGAGAATGTCTCTAGAAAGGCAACTCTGGGGACACATGAAAGACACAACTGCATTGAAAATAGGGAAATATTGTGTAAATATAAATACAGATACCGAAACATTGTTAAAATACCGGTTTATTATGATCCGAACACGGTGTGCATACAAATACACATACTAAAACACTGTTAAAATACCAGTTCCTATAACACCTAATCCAGTGTAAATATAAATACAGATACCGAAACATTGTTAAAAGCCAGTTTATTATGATCCGAACACGGTGTGAATACAAATACACATACTAAAACACTGTTAAAATACCAGTTCCTATAACACCTAATCCAGTGTAAATATAAATACAGATACCGAAACATTGTTAAAAGCCAGTTTATTATGATCCGAACACGGTGTGAATACAAATACACATACTAAAACACTGTTAAAATACCGGCTCCTATAACACTTAATCCAGTGTAAATATAAATACCGAAAAACGGTCACTTTATTATGACCCCAAGCCCCAACTCTACACGCGATCAAATTGGACGTCACCATGTTAAGGACAACTGTGGTGTTATCGTATCGTCAGTGAGGATATTTCTAACTCTAAACGGGATCAACTTAAATGATCATAACAGTCAGTCAAACAGCAACATCCGGCTCTATGAACATGTTCAGCCATTTGGCTTAACTTTTACATTAAAGCTTCTTATAACGGAGTTTTTGAAAGACCTTTACTCGCCTAGATTCTTACAGTTGAAACATATATAAACATTGAATTACGTAGCTTTCAAGAGTTAAAACGTACATAAACATTGAGCTACGTAGCTTTCAAGAGTTAAAACGTACATGAACATTGGGCTACGTAGCTTCTGACAGTTAAAACATTGAGCTACATAACTTCCGAGAGTTAAAACGTACATAAATTTTTAGTTACCTAGCTTCTGACAGTTAAAACATTGAGCTACATAGCTTCCGAGAGTTAAAACGTACATAAACATTGAGCTACGTAGCTTCTAACAGTTAAAACGTACATAAACATTGAGCTACGTAGCTT